ATAAGATAAGATAAGATAAGATAAGATAAGATAAGATAAGATAAGATGAGATGAGATGAGATGAGATGAGATGAGATAAGATAAGAGCTTTATTGATCTCACAGTGGAGAAATTCACTGGTCACACATCGGTTAGAGTTCAAAAGGAGGAAAAGGTGCATAAAGTACAGCAAAAGCAAACAAATATACAAGGAAGCAACACAGCGTAGAGATTTGGGTGATTAAAATATATACATATATATAATAATATAATATAATATATAATATAATATAATAATAATATATACATATATTATCTCGATATCTTAAAGCACATCCAAAACAAAAAGGCACAGAAAAGTCTATGAAACCTAAAAATGTAAATTAATGAAGCCAATGGGAACAGAGAAGAGTTTAACAAGTGAAACATTAATATTTTATATCCAGTTTTTCTGAGAATGGTTTCAGACATTTAGAGGAAAGAGAAAAGATGTAATTCACTGAAAGAAAGAAAGAAAGAAAGAAAGAAAGAAAGAAAGAAAGAAAGAAATACAGAAAGAAAGAGACAAAGAAAGAAAGAGAGAGAGAAAGAAAAAGAAAATAGTAAAATAAAGAGAGAAAGAAAAAAGAAAGACAAGAAAGGATAGAAAGAAAGAGAGAAAGAAATTAAGAAAGAGAGAAAGAAGGAAAGAGAAAAAGAAAGAAAGACAGAAACAAAAAATTAAAGAAAGAAAGAAAGAAAGAAAGAGAGAAAGAAAGAAACGAAAGAAAGAAAGAAAGAAAGGACAGACAGAAAAAGAAAGAAAGAGAGAAAGAGAAATCACAATTATTTAAATGGAGGAGCAGCTGATATCTGAGCTGATTCATAAAAATAAAATAAAGCAGAAACAGAAGCTTCTGTAGGAAACTGTGGTTCATGTCAGAGTCCATAAAAACCAGTAAAAACGGTCTAATCTGAGGTGCTTTAACAGGACTATAGTTTGATAATAACAGGACTATAGTTTGATAAAGAGAATAGAACTGTTAATGGTCTGTTCCCGGTGTCTCGGAGGCTCTGTGGTGTTTTAACAGGACTATAGTTTGATAAAGGAGATAAACCCGTTAACGGTCTGTTTCCGGTTCATCAGAGGTTCTGTGGAGCTTTAACAGGACTGTTGTTTAATAAAGAGAATAGAACTGTTAACGGTGTGTGGTTTGATAAAGGAGCTAAACCTGTTAACGGTCTGTGGTTTGATAAAGGAGCTAAACCCGTTAACGGTCTGTGGTTTGATAAAGGAGCTAAACCCGTTAACGGTGTGGTTCTGGTTTCTCAGAGGTTCTGTGGTGCTGTAACAGGAATGTGGTTTGATAAAGAGAATAGAGCTGTTAACGGTCTGTTCCTGGTTCATGTGCTTTAACAGGAATGTGGTTTGATAAAGTAGATAAACCCGTTAACGGTCTGGTCCTGGTTCTGGTTCTGGTTCTTACCCAGAGAGGACAGGTCTGCGTACTGGGAGCTTTAGCAGGACTAAGGTTTGATAAAGTAGATAAACCCGTTAACGGTCTGTGGTTTGATAAAGTAGATAAACCCGTTAACGGTTTGGTTCTTTAGAGGCTCTTACCCAGAGAGGAAAGGTCTGCGTACTGGGAGCTTTAACAGGACTATAGTTTGATAAAGTAGATAGAGCTGTTATGGTTTGGTTCTGGTTCATGTGCTTTAACAGGACTAAGGTTTGATAAAGTAGCAAATCCCGTTAACGGTCTGGTTCTTTAGAGGCTCTTACCCAGAGAGGACAGGTCTGCGTACTGGGAACTGAGCAG